ATGCCTTGTTTGTGTTGAAATATAAAATGGTTTGCTCACTTTTCATATCATTTTAATTTATTTTGGTTAACTTGTTACTACAATTATACGGCACGGGCGTCTGTCCCGTGACCCGCGCCCGGAAGAGGCCCCTCACACGCGGCTCCATCTCCTAAAAACAAAAAAATTCCCCACTCCTCGTCTGCTCATCCCGTGACCCTTGAAGCCATGACGCAAGATTTCGCCTCCAACTTCGAGCGCGAGTGCTACCGCCCCAAGTGCCGAGGCCGATCCACCCGAGTGACACCCGGCTGCTGCCCCACGCCCTTGCCTGGGCCTAGCGCTTGTCACCGAGCTGGGCTGCGTGCGTGGCCGCTCATCCGCCGGTCCCTTCCCCTACCGCGTGCCCGTCTCCTGCCGCGTCGTGCCCTTCCCCCTACCGTGGAGTCCCGAGTTTCCTGGCTATCGTAGTTCCTCACCAGGTAGGCCATGGTCGTCGGTGACGCCGTGTTTCAAGTGTTTCAGGCATTTTAAACTTATGTTTTAAGTATTTTATCTGGATGTTTCAAAAGTAGATCTACGATGTTGCATCTGTTGCAATGACAATATATGCATGTTGCAAGCCTATGTTAAGTGCTTGAGATGTATGTTTCAAGTGTTCCATCTAGATGTTGCATATGTTGCTATGGCTCTATCCGCATGTTTCAAGTGTATGTTTCGAGTGTTCATATGTTTAATATGTTGCAAGTGTTTCATCTGAATGTTGTAAAAGAAGATCTGGATGTTGCATATGTTGTTATGCCTATACACGCATGCTTCAAGCACATGTTTCAAGTGTTTCAACTGTTTCAGACGTATCTTACAAATATACTAATCTTGATGTTTCAAAAGTAGATCGGGGTATTGCATGGCGTAAACGGTGGCTGTCGTTGCTGCTGGGCGCAGCCGTGGGTCAACCCACATGGGTTTCCCCGTGCGGGGCGCGGGGTGGGCGCGGGGGCACGAGTCCTGCGACAGACGCGGGGGTTGGAGTTGGGCGGGATACAGGCACGGGGCACGGGGCGGGATGCAGACGTGGGAGCGGCACAGGTGTGGGAGTCGCCTCCGGACACGACGTCCCAGAAATCCGAGCGCTAGGCCTTCCCATCTTACTACTAGAGACAGATGCTTTGAGTTTGAATTTTAGCTAGCATAATTAAATAAAAATAGTTGTTGCACGTCTCTATTCTACGACTAGGATCTGACGGAGCCTCCACGTAGGATGAAGTGTGTCAAATATAAAGTGAATGTTCGTTTTTTATATCAGCTTAAAATTTTTATTAAATTGACCGGGGGTTAAAATTTTTTAATTAAATTTGCACGAGCTCAATATTTAGTTGGGGTTTAAACACGAGAAGGATCAAATACAGAGACCGGTTGCCCAAAAAGAAAAAAACTCCGCGCCTTCGGAAACTCGGAGAAGCGTCACCTACCGCGCTTTCTGAGTGCCACGAGCCCACGACGCACCAATCGTCGATCAGACGTACTACCTGTATATACAAAGCAGAGAAACACACGCACGCGGACCGTGGCGCTGTCAGCCAGCAGTCCTGCACACGGGCCCATCGACTTTGATCAACGATGGCCACCTCTCTCCGCCATTTCGCCGGCCTTGGCTATTTCCCCGCCGCGGCGTCTAGCTCTGGATTCACCTGCTTCCTGCGCCGCGACACTCCCAATTTCTGCGCCTTTGTGGCGCTCCGTCCGATCAGGCCGCCAGCCGCCACGGTCACGGCAAAGGCCTCCGCCTCTCCATCTACCGTGGAACAGCACGTGCAGGCCGTCCCGTCCCACAGCGGCGACTCATCGCCGGCGTCATCGGCAGCAGCGGTCCCGGCACCGCTGCGGGTGGGGATCGTCGGGTTCGGCAACTTCGGACAGTTCATCGCGGGTGGCGTTCAGCGGCAGGGCCACACAGTGCTGGCGGCGTCCAGATCCGACTACTCCACCTACTGCGCCCAACATGGGATTGGTTTCTTCAGAAGCGTCGACGCCCTGTGCGAGGAGCAGCTGGACGTGCTGCTCATCTGCAGCTCCATCCTGTCCACGGAGGGAGTCGTCCGAGCCATCCCCTTCCACAGGCTCCGCCCCGACACCATCGTCGCCGACGTGCTCTCCGTCAAGGAGTTTCCCCGCAACCTCCTCCTCGAGGTAACCATGTCGTACCGTACGTACTTCAGCAATCAAAGCACTCTAATTAATGGTACAGCATAACCAGGCTTTTCAACACATTTAGACTAGGGTTAGGAATCAGTATGTGGCACTATAACACTTTTGTTTGTATTTGATAATTATTGTCCAATCATGACCTAACTAGGCTCAAAAGATTCGTCTCGTAATTTACAATCAAACTATTTAATTAGTTATTTTTTTATCTATATTTAATAGTTCATGCATGTATCAAAGATTTGATGTGACGGAGAGAGAGCGAAAAACTTACAATCTAAACGAGACCCTACCTTCTGATGGTTGGCAGTTTTTTTATCTATATTTAATAGTTCATACATGTATCAAAGATTTGATGTGACGAAGAGAGAGCGAAAAAACTTACAATCTAAACGAGACCCTACCTTCTGATGGTTGGCAGCTTTGTTGATGTTGGTGAACGGCGGAGAATACTATGCGGCCGTTTGGATCGCAGCCTGTGATAATAGCCAATGGGCTGTATCCAACCAATCAGCCCCATTAGCTTTTATTAGCCCATGTTTAACATTTCTACTTGGCACCGGAAACTCAGAACTAATTTTTAGCTCTATGTATCAACACCCCTACGCCTATTCCGTGGTCCAGAATTCGGTACTTGATTTTCTCTGAATTTATGGGTGACGACGACAACAAAGACGTTAACTCTTATGTTGGACTTACCAACTGTACTTACAATGAATGGTGCATCGCTGTGTCTGGAATCCGGAATGAGGATTGTTGAGATACTGATACATTGCTAATTTGTCAGGTTCTCCCACCGGGATTTGGGATCATCTGTACACACCCGATGTTCGGGCCGGAGAGTGGTAAACATGGCTGGGGCAAGCTTCCCTTCGTCTTTGACAAGGTCCGTGTCGCGGAAGACGGGGATCAGGCGGCAAAGTGCGACCAGTTCTTGAGCATATTTGAACAGGAGGTAGGTAATTCTACCGGGACTTTTGATCTCTTTGGTTTGATGTTCATTCACAGTGGACCATTTGTGGGAGTAATTTTGGGTCAGGACAAAGTGACTGACTAGAGTTACTGAACATGTGGATTTATTTTGTGTTTCATTTCATTCTAAACGATTCTTGTAGGGATGTAGGATGGTGGAGATGTCATGCGCAGAGCATGATCGCTATGCTGCAGGAAGTCAATTCATCACGCACACAATTGGGAGGTCAGCAACATTACATTTACATATCTGGAATGTTTTTGCTGTCATTGCTCCAAATTGTTTCGTATCTGGCTGCTGAGCGTCATGCTATAAATAACTTACGTTGTTTTGTGCAGGGTTTTATCACAACTGAACCTCAAGTCAACCCCAATCAACACCAAGGGTTATGAGACCTTGCTGCAACTTGTAAGTGGTGAATGGCATGGTCTTGTCCATTCTTGATTGCTTAGATGAGGGGCTCTTATCGCCTACTACGAACCTTGCAGACCAAGAACACCGTAAGCGACAGTTTCGATCTGTACTACGGGCTCTTCATGTACAATATCAATGCCACAGAGCAGGCAAGTGCTCTCCACTCTCCATATGCTGTGCTATCCCTATCCCCTCGATACATCATGCATTAGTTGCATAAGCTGGTTTTGGTTAGCCAATGCATATAGCGCAATTGTTTGTTAACAGTATATATGCCTAAAAGCTCAAACATCAGCCTAATTTTTCACTACTTCACGTGCAGCTCGACAACTTGGAAATGTCATTTGAGAAGGTGAGACAGATGCTGTCTGGCAGGCTCCATGAGTTCATACGAAAACAGATTGTGGAGAGGGCGGCCCCTGTGCCAGCGGACCCTTCAGGAAAATTGGCAAATGGTTTGTCCAGTTCTCCTGCAGCTCGCCTCTTATAGACAGTAACTGAAGAAAAGAAGACACGTGTATCCCCCGTTTCCTACGCTTTAACCGGATACTTGCTGCCCACGGAAATGCCAATCTGTACATCTTCCTAACTATTACTTCGTCCCAAATTATAGTTCACTTTGATTTTGTCTTAAGTTAAACTTCTCTAAACTTGACATGTTTTTTTTTTAAAAAAATATTGATATCTACAAGTTTAAATAAATTCTCTATCAAAATATATCAGACAGCATATTGCACGAAAAATCTAATAAAAATGATGTTTTAGATGTTGGTGGATTTTTCTACAAAATTTGATCAAAGATAAAAATATGTTTAACTTAGGACAAAACCAAAGTGAAACAGAATTTAAAACAGTGGGAGTATGTGTTTAACTTACGACAAAACCAAAGTGAAACAGAATTTAAAACAGTGGGAGTACGTCGTTGTTGTAAGTCTGCAGTTTCCATAGTTACTATTGGCTAGACCATTAAGAGTATAAGGCCACTGCTCTCCTTTTTGTTCCAGATCTCTCCCCTCACTTCGAGGCTTTTTGCTTGCTAATGTAATAGGAAGTTTGACAAATTTTATACAAATGATCTATAACACCAAATAAGTATATTATAAACATATACTTTATGATGTTATTATTATTGACATATGCAATAGTTTATTACTACATTTAAAATCTACAATTGGAACTTAAGATCCAATAATCCGCCATAAAACTGCTGTCCTCTGTTTATTACCTTGAATAGTAGTAACTACTAGGTTACTACACACAGTTGCACGGCACCTTCATATGTGCATGTAGCATTGTATCACCATAAATGTATACTTCATCTTAATGTCGTTTTTCTCTAAGGCACTATTATACTAGGTCTTTAATAGACATAATTTAAAATCTGGTTTATCATATACGATATAGGCTGACTACGATCCTGATATCCTTTCTAAAATCTTGCAACCTGCCTGGAATCGGATCTGCCTCTCCTTCCATAAGGGTTTGAATGGCCAATCCCATGCTTCTTTCCACTGTCAACTTTCATCATCTTTCGGTGTTTAGATGCACTGCTCTCCAGGTCCAGATTCACTTTAGGAGGGTTCTTAAAACAGAAAGATGCCGCAACTTTCTGAAAGAAAGAAATTAGAAATAGTATTACCTCATCCTCTTAGCCCCACCAAAAAAAGGTGACAGATAGACAATTTGTATTGTGCATTCATTGTCCTTCTACTTGACTATGTAAGATTTTGCAAGTTAAATAAAATAACCAGAGTACAGATAAATGCACACAAACCAAGGACAGCCTTAGGAAAGAACTTCACAAGTATGTACCGTGAGATCAAGTTGGACATAAAAAATGTCTTTCATAGAGTGTGAGTTGTATGCCAAAAGGTAGGACCTATAGGCTTCCTTTGCTGACTGATTTAGGAAGTAATTCCCACCAACAATGTTCTCCTGCTCCAAAACTCAAGTTAAATACTACACATTGAAACAAGATTGAATTGCGAAAGAGACACAAGTTGTGATTGCGATTTAAGCACATGCTTCTCACTGAACACATATTGAGTCAGAGAAATATTGGCTGCCTGCAAGCAAACACTGAATGTGTTACTTCCTCAATCCAATTACGTGGAATATCATAATCGGAGATGTAAAAATCATAAAAAAAATGCTTTAACATATAAAATCAAACAACAATATCCATATTTCAGAGTACTTCCCAACACACTATATTGACTTTGTATCCAGACAATATGTAATGATGGAGAAAAAGATGATCACATTAAAGTTTAAAACAGCGCCACATATACTTCGAGGTTCCTCTTAATATAAGAGGGAGAAGGGAGGAGGGGTGGGGAAGGCACATTACCTGCAGGTAAATAAGCAACTTCAATTCTTCCGGCAGTATGAACAATAATGCACTTCCTTTGCCTTCATCACCTCGGGCAGTACGACCAACCCTATGAATGTAATCCTACAAATTGAATTCCAATGCCAAGTTAGAAAATTTGAGAAAAATAGATAATTTATTTAGGAAGGTTCAGAACCACTTACCTTTGGGTCATCTGGAGGATCATATTGCACAATATAGTCCTAAACGAGACAAGGGGTCCATAGGTTAGAGAGGGGTACAGAAAGGATTGGTACATGATTTAAAAACACAGCCCAAAACCTTACCACATTAGGAATATCAAGTCCACGTGCTGCCACGTTTGTGCATAATAAGATGCCCCTTTTCTCCTTCAAAAATTGGAAGAATGTACTAGTTCGCTTCTGTTGCTTCAGCTGCCCATGGATATCATAACACTCTGTCCCAAAGAAATTTAGAAGTTCTGCATGGAACTTGACTGAGCTACATGACGAAAAGAACACTATGATCTTCACATCCTGCTCCCTAAGCTGCATCCTTCTTAGGAAAGCATACAGAACCAGAAACCTTTTCTCGCTTGGAATGACACAATAACCCTGCTGCAAGCCCTCAACTGTAGGCTGTAAGAGCATCAAAGTTATTTCTCATACCAAATAGATAAAAAAATTTCTTTAAAATAGAGTTGAACAGCATTGTGAAACAGTTCCATACCTTCTTCAATTTAGAATCATCAACTCCAACATAAACAAGTTTCCTTTGTCTTTCTTTATTCTGTCCAAATGTAAAATTCGCAAAATCTACAACCTGTGGGATGAAAGCACATAAACAATGGCACCGACAGAAAAAAAGGGGATGAGATTTTGAATATGCTAACAAACAGATCCACTGACCCTTTGAGTCTGTGTGGCTGAAAAAAGAACAGTTTGCCTATCCTGTGTATGATGCATAGCAATTCGAGGACAAAATACAGCAATCTCAGTAGAAAAGTTAAAACGCTGCACTGTGCATATGAAATGAACTTGTCAGATTATCACATACCCAAGGGAGTCGTTTAAATATTTGTTTGATATCGTCCTCAAAATTTTGCTCAAGTATGCGATCAGCTTCATCAATTATGAGGCACTACAACATAGAAAGTCATGTTAAAAATAGAGTACATATAGGTCAGGAATTACATCCATTGCCTTAAACATGAGTTTTCATGAAAATCAATGTCATTTTCCTGCAAAACAGGACCCATGGCACATGAGCCAGTGAACCTGGACTTGCCCATGGGGCAGCCCAGCACAGTTGGCAAAATATTCCATTTGCCAAGGTATGAGTGAACAGCACAATCAATTCCATCCCTACCCAACAATGTATTGACTGTGCAATTATATATTCCTTTCATCTGAAAATGGAATTTAGTATTGGTGACAGATATGGAAAAAGGCTTTTATCTACAGAATAACAAACAACAATACATCCACTGGACTTGCCAACCCACATAACATTGCTAATAATGGATGAATAACTTATAAAGAATATAAACTATTAGCTTTTATGATTTTGCATATACTTTGGCATAATGTATGGTGAAATTTCATTTATACTCTAATTCAGTATTAACAGGACAATGAAAAGGTAGAAAAACACAAAGAATTAATATATGAAACAAATCAGATGACAGATTATGCATGTAGAGTAGAGAAGTATGAAATTGCTGGTTGTATTTGTTATTTAGCGTGATAATTATAATATGCACGCTATTTCAACAGAAATATTTCCTTGAAACTTGGAAAAATATGATAATAACCAGAATGTTTTACCTGTAGCCTTTTATAGTTGAAACCACTGGTACTTCGCAGATGGTCCAAAAGCCTGCCTGGTGTTGCAACTAACAGATTGATCCCTTTCACAAGCTGGTTGGCCTCATTTCTTATGTTAGTGCCACCAATTACATATCCAAGAGTTTGTGAGTGATACTTCATTAATTCCTTGGCAACATTGTGTGTCTAGCACAAAAGAATGAATGGAACACATAATTAGGGATAGTGAAATGTGAGTCCATATGAACGAAGTCTCGGCAACCATCCGACATGAAGATACACTATAAAACTGACTTTTGATACATTATATTTACACAAGCATTATCTTAGCAAAGGATACGCTTATCTCAGTTGGTACATCTGATTTTGATTGTTTCATTCAAAGCAAGTTGAAGAGTCACAAAACATGTAAAATGGAATTAAAGAGAAATACTGTTGAGTCATGCATATATATATATATATACCTGGATAGCAAGCTCCCTTGTTGGGCAAACTACAATAACTCCAGTTCCGTTCCTTGGCATGAAGCATGCTTTATGCAGCAGTTCGGTCGCCGGTATAAGGAAGGCAAGTGTCTTCCCTGAGCCAGTTTTGGCTGAACCCAGCACATCACTTCCTAGCATAAGATGCGGTATTGATCTAGCTTGAATCTGGAATCATGTAAAGAACCATGCATACATGCCGTTACAGTAATACCAAAATCCAACAGCGCAGCAAAGAGCAGATCAAATATAATCAACCCACATAATGCAATAATCATCAGCAGAAACATTCAATCAACTAGATGTAATTATGGAATTGTACCGAGAACACAAAGTATATATCTCGCCACAAAGACGATGTAATTAATGACAAAAATTTAGGCGTAGGCGAGAATGACCTCGGTGAGGTGGGTGTAGTTCATCTCTCCGATGGCCTTGGCAGTGAACTCGGATATGCAGAGCTCTGAGAAAGTTTTGTTAGTCAGAATTCCTCCTGCATTGCCCTTCTTCACCTTTTCTTCTTTATTCTCGTTCTTCCCCTTCTCTACTACCATCCCTATCTCATCCTCCTTCCGCTTCCGCTTCCCCTTCTCCTTCCCCATCCTCTCCATCCCATTCCCCTCCCCCTTCCCCTTCTCATCCCCATCGCAGGTGGCGTCGTGGATCGACTCTCCCGACTCCGGCAGAGCAACGGGGTTCTTCAACGGCTGGGCCAAGTGGCTACACGAGTTCAGGTACATGGCGGCGCCGGGGGCTGCTGGAGGTTGGTGAGGGCTCAGCCCGGCTAAATTCGAATGGTACATGATAATGGCGGCGGCGGAGGCGGAGGTGGAGGTGGCGGCGGAGGCGGTGGCTAGGGCGGCAGAACGTAGGTATTAGTGCAGGGGCACTAGAGCAATTTCACTGGGGCTGTATTGTACAAGCAGACTTTATTTGTATATTATATATACATATATACAGGATACATATAGGAAACACACACCCAGACACAACAAGAGAGGTCGATGATCAATCAGACACAGGAACGACCACCGATCTCATGAAGGAGGATGACTACATGATCGAGCAAGCGCTCGGGTTCTCGTCACTGAAGTAGTTCCGCACGGCGGCTGGCACTACCTCGCCGGGCTCCTCCTGGTAGTTCCCGTAGAGGTCGGAGTCATAGTACCCGTGGACACGATAGTTGTAGGAGCTGGCCTTGGCCTGGGGGTACTGATGCGCCACCGGCTTCCTGCTGGCCACCGCCGGGACGCCGCTGCCGCTGTTCTTGCCGGCGCGCGGGACGCTGCTGTAGTACTGGTGCTGCTGCGCCTGCGCGGCGGGCTTGGCCTGGTACTGGTACTGGTACTGGTACTGGTAGTAGGCCGCCGGATGCGGGTGGGCTTGGTGGTACGCCGGGTTGTAGGCGGACGGCCACAGCACGGCGAGCCTGCCCGTGCGCCGCGCCGCGCGGAGCGCCTTTTTCTGGCTCACCGATCCCGTGACCGTCACCTTGCCGTGCATCCTGTCTATGCTTACGTGGTGCACTCCTGGAGGAAGAGGAGAATCATATCGAGCAGTCAAGCACTCGTGGTGGATTGTTTGCGTGGGTGATCATGGAACATTTTCGTGCTACACATACATAGACGCACCTTCGAGTTTTTCCAGGGCCCTCCTGACCTTGCCCTCGCAGCCGTCGCAGTCCATGTTCACATGCATCTCTACGATCTGCAAAGACACGACACCACGATGGTTTAAGTAGTTTCAGAGACGAGGGATATGAGAGTAGTGAACACAAACATCATTCATCAAAAGTTTTGAGTCAAATAATCGGCAAGTGATTTATATTAGAGCGAACAGAAACCCAAGCTTACCGTCATGATTCCTCCTTGGACAGACGATAAAGAAGATCCACTCTGGGGAGTTCACTAGGACAGTGTGTAGTGCAGTGGTGTATATATGCACAACAATCACTACTGGAGATGCAGCAGGAGAGAAGACATTGTATTAGAGGAAGATATCAAGTCACGGAGTCAAGTCAAGTATATTGCCGGCTTGTTTTTTTAATGGAGATGACGGAGTCCCCTGCTGATATATTGCGGGCTAATTTCGGTGTTGCTGTAGCCCACTACGCCAGCGCGCCCGGAAAAGCGATGCCTCAACTAATAATCAATCTACACGTTAGTAGCCGAGCTCAGCGCTCATTTGCCTTGACGTCGATGCCTGTGCTTATCCCAGTATTTCTTCCCTACGAATGCCATGGAAGTTGCGTGCCATTACTTAAGATGCTTCGGTCATGAACAACGACCTGCCACATTCAATATATATTGCGTTTTAGATATTGAAACAACGCAGCAGGGATTGCGTTGTGTAGGATAGATATATATGCAAATTGAGCAAGTAGGCAGACATAACTATCAGGACGTCGCTGTTTTTGTGAAGGGCAACCAACGAGAGCTTCATTTTATTTAATTTAAGTAAATTTAATTATTTAATTTAAGTTAGTTTAATTAGGATTGTTATCAGGTCAAGTCTTTTGATCCTGATCGTCATATCTTAGATTCACCATCCAATATCGATGTAAGCCTTTTAAAACTAGGTGTAATGCAACTTAATTGGTTGGGGTTTCTTTGTCGAAGCTGTCCACTTGGGTTCAATGTCCAAATTTGGAATGAGTAATTGTATTTTTCTTGATCTATTTTTTAAAAAAAGGACATATAAATTCATGATATTTTTTCAAGATATTAACTCACTCTTCTTGTTCTATCCTTTTGGTGGCTTTTGGCTTTTCTAGTAGGAAAAGCACTTTTATTTGGAAACCCAACCAAACACACCCTTGTATGAGTAGTTGATTTTTTTTGTTTATCTTAGAAAAGGGTAGGAATGGGTGATGTTTCGGGAAACAAAATTTTCAACTCACTCTTTCTTTTTGAAAACAAGCAAGTTATTTGGATCTCCTAGACCGTCATGTGGACTTATATTGTGGCTGTGAGAAAGTAGTCAATGATGCTGATAAATAGGCATGGTCTTCTAGGGGCACAATCCACAAAAACCCATTTGCAATCTTCTTCGGAAACGGCCCATTATAAATTTAGTTGGATAAGTGTAAGGATCATGTGCCTATGTATGTGATTTTAGTGTGGTGTTGGTGATTTAGATGATGACTAACCCTAACACTAATGGGCTATACCACCACTTTAGGCCTGATAGGCCCATGACATATGCCTCTAACAATGACAACCCAATCACTGAGACTAATATATATGTTAAGATGTGTTAGACATGTTCTAGTAGGTTCTAGGGTTCAAGGAAACAAACGGCATAAAGATTAGTCAAGAAACTATGAAAAATTTAGGAAAATAATGAATAAATGTGGTTGGATAGTCCATGTCTCAAAAGAATGAGAGTGTCAGACAATCAAGGCCAGCGTCCGGCCAACAAAATGGCTTAGCACAGTTCACTTGGCTTGGCCAGACATATCGCATATCGGCAAACAAAGGGAGCATAAAAAAATGCAGATTGGCTAGACAATCCACAAAGAAGGAGGAAATTGGTAAATACTGTAGTTCTCAACAGAACAGACGGTCCGACCAATCAGAGGAGAAGTATGCTAGAATTTCTACGGTGTTATCTAGCCATCACTTATGCAGTGGCACTGTGCAAATGCACATGCTAGACAGTCTTGTAAGTATTAGAGAAGTTCTAGCATCGAACAATCTGACATAATCCAATCTGCAACGACTAGTACTTCAATGGTCACAACAGACTAGATATTCTGATGGTAACATATTCTATGAGCCAAAAGTCGTCAGCGTTGTTTTCTGGCAAACTTTGGTTAATGGCCATATGAGGAATGGAGGAGTTATATATACTCCATTCTACCATTTTTGTGGTGGTTGGATGTTGTTTAAGTTTCCCAAGGCTACTAGAACTAGAGCAAGTGATTGTACACTCCATCCACCCTCTCAAGTGCACAGGATAGAAATTAGCATTCATCTTTGAGAGCTTCTGAGTTTGGGTTGTTGTGCCCTTGTAGTATTGGTGAGCTGGAGAACCTAGGGTCTTGCTAAGCTTCCAATGACATTAACCCTGTGAGCTTGTTGTTGAGGAGTGGCAACTTGATGTGCATGGGATGAGAGGAGGCTCCTTCCTTGTTGAAGAAGCTACATAGTGCACAACACTAAGGTGACCAGACAAGTTGTGTGGTGGTGAGCCTTAGTGTCTTGTGGCACTTGCCTTGGTTGTGCAAGCCTTTGCGAAAAGCTCAACACCATTACTAGGGGAAGCTTTGGTGATTAGGAGCATACCACATTAGAGCTCTAATGTGGACTAGGGGTTGTAGTTTGGCAACTGATATCATGGGATACATTCTTGTCTCTAAGAGCATCTCCAAGAGACTCTTCATATCCTTCCTAAATGCTAGGAATAGAGATTTTGGTGAAAAACTACCCTCCAACAGCTTCTCTAAATGGTTATCCAAATATAGCCATCTTCTATTTCATTTTTTTCGCTAGCCAAAAATAGAAGACGAGAATGACTCTCTAGAGTGTGCATCAGATATAGAAGAACTGTTAGAGAATGAAAATATATAGAAAGTGAATTCTATGCAAATGACACTCCAAACACTACTAGAAATATCCACTTCTATGACGAAAATCTTAATCATGAATCTAAAACTGTCATAGAAGATTGCTTTTTATGACGAATATTTTCGTTTCGTCATAAATCAGTGGTGATGATCATCTAACCCTCCCTATCTATGATGAAATCAGGCATCGTCACAAAAAAACATCATAGAAGAGCACATGGTTTCGTCACAGATCACTCGCGCGACTCATCTGTGATGATCTCCTTTAATACTGTGACGAACAGGGCTTCGTCATTGAACTAATTACACATCTGTGACGGACAATATTCGATCTATAATGAATGGCGCTTCGTCATATATCTTCACACGGTACTGTCTTTATCCGACGTGTACCTGTGGGACCTGTAGTTACTCATCCATGACACTTGTAATTAGTCATAAAAGTCTCCGCTCGACCCTTCCTTCATGGGACGTGTACCTGTGGGACCCTTCTCCATCCGACGTGTACATGTGTGACCTGCAGTTACTCATCCGTGACGTTTGTAATCCATCATAAAAGTCTTCGCTCGGTCCTTTCTCTGTCCCACGTGTACTTGTGGGACCCTTCAGCATCCGACCTGTGGGACCTGATGGCTTACGTGTCACGTGTACTTGTGGGATCGTTCTCCATCTCCATCCGACCTGTGGGACCTGATGGCTTATGTGTCATGTATACCTGTGGACCATACGACCTGTGGGACCCGACGGCTCACGTGTCACGTGTACCTGTGGGACCTTTCTCCATCTCCATCCGACCTGTGGGACCCAATGACTTGCGTGTCACTTGTACCTTTTGTGCCGTCGGGGTCTAATAAATTAAAAAAAACCTCAATGCCTGGGAGTCGAACCTGGGACCCGGAGGAAGGAATGCATGGTCTTTACCATTGCGCTAGATGCCTGGTTGTATTGACATATCTTTGGAGTCGTTATAGTATTATATTCTCTATGTGGATGCCCTATAGGTTGACCTATATTGGATATTTCTCCTTCAAGTGGAAACAAATCTGTGCCCGTTAGACTAGCGGTGGTGGCGGCGGCGGCGGCGGAGGATCCCTGGTGTGCTCTGGTGGCTCCGGCATCCTTTTGGAGGCTAGGCGGAGGGGCTTGATGGTGGAGCGTGGTGGCATTGGTGTCCGTGTCCGTTGTGTGCCGCGGCAGAGGCGACAAATCTAATCTGTAGGTCTCCTTTCTCACCTTTTCCTGTTCTCTTCACTGTTTTGGTCCTTACTTGAATATGAGGTATACAAGAAACATTCTAGCTGGAATTGTAAGGGTTACAACTCCATTAACTGCTATTCTAGTTTGAGTTATATATATCTATGTGGTGCTACTCTAGATTTGTTTGAGGTCGTACCATGAAAATTGTAAATGGTTGTTAAAGTTGCACTTTAGTAAGAGTTGTGGACTTCACTAATGGATCTTTGTTGGATTATTTTCCTCTTAAGTGATCTCATTACTGAGCAAGCTCTCAACAGACGAAATAGAGGAGGCCCCCAACAAGAGGAACGCACTGGCTAGCCTCACGGACGATGCCACTGTCAAGATCCTCCGCTGCCTCCTCGCCCGCTCCTTGTTCTGCTACAAATGTGTTTGTCGCTACTAGAACCGCCTCATCTCGGACTACAACAACCATAAGGTACTGTCCTGGACTCTGGCCAGCTTCTTCTACGACACCAACCAAGGCCATCGACACTACACCAGGGTCACCGGTGAACACCTTTACTTGTCCTTCTTGCCCTTCACCTTGGTCAATGTAGCTATCTTAGATATCTGCAACGGTCTCATCCTATACTGGTGCCGAGGGGCTGATGGTTTATACCGCTATGTCGTATGTAATCCGGCAACCAAGAAGTTCAAGGAACTACCGCCTGGCATCCATTCTGTTGGTGAGGCTCGATTGGGGTTCGATCTGATAGCCTCCTCGCACTTCCATGTGATTGAATATATAGAAGAGTAGAAGGATGATGAGTGCATGGGTGTGGACATCTACTCATCTAAATCTACAGCATGGATCTGTAAGGAATCTAAATGGGAATCGAATACTTGTGTGACATTTCAGATATCAGAAACTCTGTATCTTAACGGTTATCTGCACATTATGGACTACTCGCAATGTTACATACTTGCTGTGGATATGGAGGGAGAGACATGTAGGAAAATTCCTAGGACACGTGGTTCTTTACCCTCCATCCATCAAGCTCAGGGTCAGTTGTGTGTATGTACTCTTCATGGTCGCAATATGTCTAATCTTAA